GCAGCAGTTCCAGGAGCTGCTGCCAGGGCTGAGGGAGGTAGCAGCTGTGCCCCTCCTACTCTTTGTTGGCAGAAGTGGCAGCTGCCAACCCAAGGAATTGAGAGAGATAGGGAGAGAGGAGCCGGGCCCTGAGACATCTCCAAAGGGTTCGTTCTCTCCCATCTCACCCCTGTGTCACTGTCCCATTATTCCCCACCCTGATCCCTGTCCCCACAGGTTCACAGAGGCCGAAGTGATGGTGATGGGTGATGTGACCTACGGGGCTTGCTGTGTGGATGACTTTACTGCAAGGGCCCTCGGAGCTGACTTCCTGGTGCACTACGGCCACAGCTGCCTGGGTATGGTGGGCCAGGACACCTGGGCCCGGCAGGGCTGGCAGGAGTCCGGCTGCATGCTAATCTTCTCCATTGCGGTGCCTTCTTGTCCTGCTTGCAGGACAAGGTCCCTCCTGGTTTCTGGGATGGCCTTGGCCTTCCTGCTCTGCAGGTGGATCTTGCCTTTGGATTCGGTTGCCTTGGAAACTGTGCTGCTGTCCCAGATGCGGGTATTTGAAAGGCTGTTGGTGATAGAGCAGGTGGGGCCCCTGGCCAAGTGACAGAGAAAGCTGACCAAGAAGGAGCTTCTAGGGGACCTGTGAACCCCTCCTTCCATACCTCCTCATTCTACCCTCAGGCTGAACCTACTGGTCCTGGCTGCTTAGAGACCTCAGCCTGGGCCAGGACCTCTGCTCCTCCCGCCTTCTAAAACAAAGTCTCCTGAACCTTGCCCTTCCCTCAGTTCCCATGGACACCTCGGCCCAAGACTTCCGGGTGCTGTACGTCTTTGTGGACATCCGGATAGACACTACCCACCTACTGGACTCGATCCGCCTCACCTTTCCCCCAGCCAGTGTCCTTGCTCTGGTCAGCACCATTCAGTTTGTGTCAACCTTGCAGGTGAGTGGAGTGAGGCTCCTCAGCATCTCCGGAGGCAGACAGCACCCACTGTCCAGGCCACCCCTGGGTCCTCATGCTGGTGCTCCAGGCCACTCCACTGGCCCTGTCCCTCCTTCCCCAGCCACTTGCTTCCCTTCCCTCATTATCCCTACAGGCAGCTGCCCAGGAGCTGAAAGCTGAGTATCAAGTGAGTGTCCCACAGTGCAAGCCCCTGTCCCCTGGGGAGATTCTAGGCTGCACGTCCCCCCGGCTGCCCAAAGAGGTGGAGGCTGTTGTGTAAGTTAAAAGTGGGGGCCAAGTCTTAGAGACGTAAGAAATGTACCCTGGGAGGGAGCCTGAGGTTTATCGTACAGGACAGAAATGGAGTCTAATGTTCCCTGCCTATTTGTCCAAGGTCATACTGCAAGGTGGGGACCAAATAGGGACTAGACTTCAGGCTTACTGTCTGTCTCTCCAGTGCTCAGTCCACCCTCCAGGAGGCTATGCTGGGGGTGGGGGCAGGAATTAGAGGGCCTGATGGGGGGATGAGGGTGGGCTGGAAATGGTGGGAACATAATTGGAGAAGATGGATGGGCACGCCCAGGCTGCAGCCCCATTAATTTAGCATCCGGACAGCTAACAAGCAGAAGCAGCATGTCTCCTGCCGCCTAATTATTTTAGGTAATGGAAATGCTTAATGTTGTGTGAATGCAGCCAGCCTCAGAGCCCACAGCTCCCCCGGCTGGGACCGGGGAGGGGGGCAGCCCTGCTCCTAGCTAATGGGAGGGAGGGAGGGGAGGGCACTCCCTGACTCAGTCCTACTGACTCAGTCCTAGCTCTGGGGCTTTGGATGCTGGTCCCACAGGCCTTGCCGCACCCACACAGGACACCCCTGCCCCTAGACAGGCCACATCAGGGCCTTCCCCAGCCCAGACCTGGCATTCCCGCTCCCCCAGGGGGATGCCCCCTGTGCCAGTGCCTGCATAACTCTGAGCTCATAGATGCCTACTCTTGGGTGCTTCAAGGTATGTGTTGGAGCAAGGGATACCCTGAGTGTGGGCCATTCATCAAAATGAGGTGTGGTCTCCAAGAGGGAGAGAAGGAGCTGCCGTAGGCAGATTTTATTCCGTGCTCTGGGGTCTCCATGGCCTGAGAAAGTGCTGTTACACATAGCATCTCCTAGGGCACACTTGGTAAGCGTGGTGGTTAAGCCTCAGCTACATTGCTTAACAGTTGGATAATTTGGGGCAAGTTTCCTAACATCCCTGAGCCTCGGTTGTATCTTTTGTAAAATGGGGATACTACAGACATCTTGGAGGACTATTAGAAATGACTGAGCGAACTCATTCACATCAGATACTTAGGCCAGGCCCGATACATAAAAGGTGTAAGTCCAATGAACAGTAGCTGTTGTAACTCAGTAACAACAAGAGCGAGTTTGTGCAAAGAGTAGCCAGTGTACACCCTGCAGCCTCATTTACAGCATAGATGACACCCTGAACACTATTTCCCATGTCTGTATTGAGCTTGGTAAGGGACAATCTGTTCCCCAGCTTCCAAGTTAGGATCTCTGGAGCCCCTGGTGGCCTTACCATGGCCTTGACTGCTCCTTTACTCTTCCTGCAGAAGGTGGGGGTGGGGTGGTTCTTAGAGTTTATATTACATAACTAGAGGGACCTTCCAGTCATCCAATTCAAACTCCTTATTTTACCCATGAGAAAACCAAGACCCCAAGAGGTGGAATGATGGCTTGTCCCAGTTTATACACAGCAGCACAGTCAGGACTGAAAACTCAGTCCTCCCCACTTTCAAAAGCCAGCGAGTGCCTCTTCTGGTGCTTCACACCACACTTACAAGCCTCCTTTCCACACCCTGCAGGTATCTTGGAGATGGCCGCTTCCATCTGGAGTCTGTCATGATTGCCAACCCCCATGTCCCCACTTACCGGTATGGACTAGGCTGGGCTGACCGGCTGGCAAGGGGTGGGATTCCCTGCCACTGAGGCCCTCAGTCAGCTGAAACTTCCTCATTCCCCAGCCACTAAACAGTCCCCAGCCCTAAGGGTCTGAGGCACTTGGGGCCAGGATCTGGGCATTAGGCCCAGGGCTGCTGTTGTCTACCTATCCCTTGGGATTCACACTGAGGTCCTAAAACCCTCCAACTCTTGTCTGGTCCAGCTGTGGGACTGATCTTTTCAATAGCAATCCCTGCTCTTGCCTCTGTTCCTAATTACCTGCATGGGGCCTGAAGTGTCAGGATCCCAAGGGGCTGAGTCAGGAACTGTGTATTTAGCAGGAGTCCTGAGAGTGGCTGTCACAGTGACCCTGGCAGCTTCTTTTCCAGGTACGACCCATACAGCAAAGTCCTGTCCAGAGAACACTATGACCACCAGCGCATGCAGGCTGCTCGCCAAGAAGCGATATCCACTGCCCGCTCGGCTAAATCCTGGGGCCTTATTCTGGGCACTTTGGGCCGCCAGGGCAGTCCCAAGATCCTGGAGGTCAGAGGGCTTGGGATGGCCTCTGGAGGAGGGGATTGACTAGAAACCAGCTGGAAAAATCAGTGGGCCAAGGGATTTAACTTTGGCTATTTGATCATGGGGACCCCAGCCCTGCCTTCTTCTCCCAACAGCACCTGGAATCTCGACTCCAAGCCTTGGGACTTCCCTTTGTGAGGCTGCTGCTCTCTGAGATCTTCCCCAGCAAGCTTAGCCTACTTCCTGAGGTGGATGTGTAAGTTTCCCCACTGTAGCTACCTAGCTTTGACTCTGGCTACAGCAGCTTAGAAGCTGGGTCCTGCCCCACACATACTGAAGGCTGGAGTTGATGGGAATAGCTTCCATAGTCATGAAATTTTAATGTTTACAGAGCATTTACTCAGCAGGGGTTATCCTTGGCTATGGGTCATACCTGCTTTGTCTGGCTTTGGGGCTCAAAGCCAATGGCAATGTCACAGTTGTTCTGTGCGACACTGAGTTCAAGGGGTGTTGACACCAGCACTGTACTAGGCACTAAATTTGGTTCTGGGGATACTCTCACAAATGAGCTGCCCTAGCAAGTTCATAGTCAGTGGAAGGAACAAGAGAAAACAAGAAACAATATAGTATTCTAAACAGCAGTAGGTGACAGTCTTTACTTTAGGATTAATAAATTCTATTAATTAATGGGTATGTTGGAGACACTGTCATGTTCTTCAGCATGCTGTCTAGGAGAGGGGGAGACCTAGGGTCTCACCTAGCTTTCCTTCCCAGGTGGGTGCAGGTGGCATGTCCACGTCTCTCCATTGACTGGGGCACAGCCTTCCCCAAACCACTGCTGACACCTTATGAGGTAACACCAAGTTTTGGAAATCCCTGGGAGAGTGGGTTTTGCACCTTGTTCTCAAGAGAGGCATCCGAAGTGGAGTGGGGTGGATGGGCAGCATGTAAGTTATCTTAATAGGTTCTGGTCAGACTGTCTTGTATCCCCCAGCTGAGCCACTTCCTAGCTGTGTGGCCTTGGGTAAGTCCCTTAATCTCTCTGGGCCACACATTTCCCTTGTGTGGTAAGGGGATAATATATTCTTCATAGGCCATTTGTGACTATTGAATTCAATAATCCAGGCACAGAAAAATGTTGGTAAATGTTATTGTCCTGTTTTCCTCCCCTAGGCGGCCGTGGCCCTGAGGGACATTTCCTGGCAGCAGCCCTACCCGATGGACTTCTATGCAGGCAGCTCCTTGGGGCCGTGGACAGTGAACCATGGGCGGGACCGGCCCCCCAAGGCCCGGGGCCAGGTAGTGCAGGGGAAGGTAGGCGGGGCGGGGACTTCCAGGAGGGCGGAGGGACAGCCCTGGGCGCCGCCCTGGCACGGGCCGCCTCCCTGGCGACATGAGCCGAGGCCGCCGCCCTGCGACTGCGATGGGAAATGCGCGGGAGCGGATCGGAGGATGTTGCAGAAGCGAGACCCTGACCAAAGTCTGCGACCTCAGGTGCAGGAGGGGTCCACACTCCCCTCTCCAGCCGTGGCTAGCGAGGACTGCAGCTGCAGAGACGAGAAGGTGGCGCCGCTCGCTCCCTGAGACGCTCCGGAGTTCCAGGTACCCACCCAGCTTGGGCTGCGTCCCACCCCTCCCCGTTGTCATGGGGACGCCCTCTCGCTCTGAGGCCCGCCTTCCTGGTGGTGCCGGCTCTTGGTTCCTCCCCTCACGTAATTCTACTTCCGCTCGGGGAAAGATCGCTTCCGGTGCCTCTGTGGCGCTGCGCCGCACTATGGCCGCGAAGCGGCCCCTGCGGGTTTTGTGCCTGGCGGGCTTTCGGCAGAGCGAGCTGGGCTTCCGCGAGAAGACTGGAGCGCTGAGAAAGGCGCTGCGGGGCCGCGCCGAGCTCGTGTGCCTCAGTGGCCCGCACCCCGTTCCCCACGCGGCGGGCCCCGAGGGTGCCGGCCCAGACTCCGGTGAGATGAGTCTTGCTCCGGAAATGCCCTATCTTCTCCTTCTGCCATGTTCCCTCAACACCCCTCAGCACAGGCCCGCCTTGTACCCTCTTCTCATTCCTTCCACCCAGCCCACACCCCTCATTTCCCGTCCCAGCCTCCCTCGCTCAAACTGCCCCTTGCCCTTTCAGGTTTCCACCTTCATCCGTCTTCCTGTCTGCAATTCATGCCGGTCCATTTATTCCCCACCGCATTTTCCCCAGCCTTTCTCCTCTCAGTTCCCTCTCTTCCCTCTCTGTCATCCCCAAACCCTCCCTCCTCTTGTCATTTCTTTCCCTCTGAAATTCCCCTTGCCCTGATCCCGTTCTCTTGTCTCGCTGTAGGGCCCTGCCCTTCAGAGGAGCAGCCTCGAGGCTGGTGGTTTTCAGAGCAGGACGCAGACGTTTTCTCCGCACTGGAAGAGCCCACAATGTGCAGGGGTCTGGAGGAGGCCCTGGGAACGGTGGCACAGGCACTGAACAAGCTGGGGCCTTTTGACGGGCTCCTTGGTTTCAGCCAGGGTGCTGCACTCGCAGCCCTTGTGTGTGCTCTGGGCCAGGCGGGAGATCCCCGCTTCCCCTTGCTGAGATTTATCATCCTGGTATCTGGTTTCTGTCCTCGGGGCCTTGGCCTCAAAGAACCCATCCTGCAGGGCCCCTTGTCACTACCTTCACTCCATGTTTTTGGAGACACTGACCAAGTCATCCCCTCTCAAGAGAGTGTGCAACTGGCGAGCCGATTCCTTGGAGCCATCACCCTCACCCACTCTGGTGGCCACTTCATTCCAGCGGCTGCACCCCAGCGCCAGGCCTACCTCAAGTTCTTGGACCAGTTTGCAGAGTGAAAGATCAACAAATGCCTCTACCCGTCCATCTCCCCTCGGGGCAGCCTCTGTAATCTATGCCTTCTCCTGTGACCTCCACTGCTTTTCGTGCCACCAACTAAGAGACAACTGTTAATTCTCAGGACTCAAATTATATGAGCACTGTCCTGTATTTGAGAAGAGGGGAGCAGAAGGCCTTGATGGACTTTGCCCGTGACTTTTTATACTCAAACATGAAAAAGCCTAGAGAGCCCTGGATGAGAGAAAGGTTACATGGGAAAAGTAGGGACTGGCACCACTGTGACTGCTACACAATAAAGGTGGTGATTTGGATTTTTGAGCATCTTTTTCCTGGTATACACAGCCTCCCAGGCAGCACCAAGCAGGGAGGTGTCTCCAGTTGTGAAGACAGGCTCATGCATATGTGCACATATACACTCACACATTTTTGGTGGAAATTTTATGTCCCAAACTGAAGCAAAGGAGGCCTTGGTGCCTCTTCTTAACTTGACCCCATCTGCAGGGTTTCTGAGATCGATGTTAGTCTGTAGTAACTACAGCCAAGGCCTAAGCAGCCCAGCTGGTTTGCCCTTGGGAAGTGCAACTAGTTGTTCCTAGACACTTTAAGGATTGCCCACACTTGTCATTTTCCTCCCACTTTGAGCACCACTCCACCCCCCCACCCCCACCTTCTGATTTCTTTCCTTACTCTACAAGACAAGAAACCCGTTGCTTTAATGAAAGGTCACAAGTCCTATCTAGCCCTCACCCACAGTTGTCAGGGAGCTAAGTAACTGAACAGGAACTAGAGTTAGGGGATGCAGCACAAATACTCCAGCCCGTCCTTCTGATAACCAGACTAACTTAAATTATTTCCCAAAGTTCTAGGTTCTTTGCTACAGAGAGAAGCTGTCGAAGATAAAAAACTGGAATTACCCACCCAGACAGAGGTCTAGGTTACAGAGTTTAGAATCTTTACAACAGAAAGTGTGTTTGCTGGGATGGGTGGGGGGTGGTTCTCCCTTGCTACTGTTGGCCTTTGCCTTATTCTTGGTGCTTTAAGGAGTCTTTCCCTTGGCAAAAGGAGGAGACTCTGAAATGGACTGAATTGCTCTTATAGGTCTGTGGGATTTAGCCCAGAGAATTTTTTAGAAAAAACTCAATTTAAAATGTTAGAAAAATTCAGATTTCTGGCATTTCTGGAAATAACTGATGGATTTGCAGTTTAAGGGTCACATACCCTCATGGCAATCATAGGATGCCTCCTTTAGCAAGGTCCCAAGATGGGAAAATGATGACTCGCGTACCTCAGCTGCTGCTACTAGGGATTACTGTGAGGATTAAATGAGAGAAGAAGATACCGGGGAATGAATTTTAAGCCAGGGCTTAAAATTAGAAGGGGGTGGGTGGGAGTGGGTAGAGCAGAGCAGTATTAGGTGAGCATGTTTGGGGTGAGGAGAATTCCTCCTGAGAATCATAGAATGTCCAAGCTGGAAGGAAACATCATGTGGTCCACTGGTTCCCAACAAGTGGGATATATTAATATTTCCCACCGTGCTCTCCAGGAACAAGAGAGGATCTTAGGGGATTGTGCCCTCTCCCCCACGCACAGATTCTATGGACCATTTGCATCAGGATCATCTGTTAAAGTTTGAATTCCTCGGGTCAATTCCAGATGTACTGAGTCAGAGTCACTGGGACTCAGGAATCTGCGTTTTGACAAACTGCCCCTGGTCATTCCCAAGCAAGTATTAGTTGAAAACCACTGCCTTAGAGGGTAGAATAAAAGTCTCTGGTAAGTGTATGTTATCTGAAAAAAGCTCCCAGTGTGATCCTCATGCAACCTACCCAGGAGGGAGAGCAAGCTTTTCCCAGAAGAATCATTCATCTAGCATTTTCAATTTACGGCTAAGGAAAATGAGGTTCAGAGGGTAGAAACAGTAGTAACATTTATTGAGTACTAGCTGTATGCCAGATATTGTGATAGGCAAAAGCTTTAATGTTGCCTAATCTCACAACATCAAGAGGTAAGTACTATTATTAACCCAATTTTACAACTGAGGAACCAAGCACAGATTAAGTATAATAACTTACCCGAGGTTAGATTTGGATCCAAGAACTCACATTCTTGACCTTTACTAGTCATTGTTTTCTCTGCTGCGCTGTAGAAGAGGAACAGAGACTCACCACTCACTACTTGTTGGGCTGTATGTCCTGCCTGGGCCTCACCTTCCAAATCTACTTTCTAATATATGAGATACTGAAACTCTCACATCGTACAGTCAGTCCTCTGGATCTTTCCCCTCTCCAGCTGGGGTCAAACTGCAAAAGACTTGGCCTCTTTTCAGAAAATCCCTGCCATTTCTCTTTTCTACCTCTGACTCCACCTTGGATGCCTAAAGCTCTTAAGAGAGAGTGTCTCTTAGCAAAGAACCTGTCTACCCCTGACCCAGAGCATCTGCTCAGGGAGATGTACCCCCCTCCTCTGTTCATTCTGCCTAAGTGCCCAGAGTTGGGGTTCCTTCCCAACATTACCCCCTCTTCACAGACACGTAGTAGCCTAATAGAATACTTAAGACCGAGATAGCATTCTGCTGTTTTCAAAGATTTTTACTTACGTGATCCTATTCGATCCTCACAATACATCTGGCAAGAAAGAGTGATTATTATCCCGTTTTACAGGAGGCTCAGAAACAGAACATGGCCCCTTAAATAACAAGCAGTTGATGATGAAGCCAGGTTGGACCTCCTGATTCCCGGTGTGGTATTCCCACCTGCACACATTTCAGTCTGCTCATGATGTTCACTAGAATCTGGAATCAAGTGCATTTTAATCTAAGACCTCAGGATCCTGGGAGTGGTGGGGTAGGGCAGCAAGTGGGTGTTGATTAGCAGGAAAACCAGCACCCAGTTTCTTTTCTTTTCTTTCTTTCTGTTTTGAAACATGGTCTTGCTCTATTGCCCAGACCAGAGTGCCGTGGCATCAGCCTAGCTCACAGCAACCTCAAACTCCTGGGCTCAAGTGAACCTCCTGCCTCAGCCTCATGAATAGGTGGGACTACAGGCGTGCACTACACCCGGCTAATTTTTACTGTTTTTAGTAGAGACGGGGTCTCACTCTTGCTCAGGCTGGTCTCAAACTCCTGAGCTCAAGCGATCCTCCTCCTCATCCTCCCAGAGTGCTAGGATTACAGGCGTGAGCCACTGCGCCCAATCCAGCGCCCAGTTTCTTAGAAGTAGTTTAGAAAAGGAGGGAGTGTGGAGAGGTAAAGAAAAATTGGATTAATGGTTGATGGGGCTGGGTCGCATTAACCATGCCCAACAATATCCCTGGGGAAGTCGCACCTGATATTGAACAGCGAGCCCCTACAGTGGGTGATGCTGGCAATGGCAGGAGACACACGCGATAATGTTTTTGAAGAGAACATTGCTCACACTTCACTGGCACAACCCGACTTCAGCCCCTGTGGTATTCACTCCTCTTTAGGACTAATTTGAGAAACAGTCTCAAACTGGAATCCAGCACCTGGAGATAGACTGAAGTGAGAATGCTGATATATTAAGACAACGCTTTTAGGGACCACGTTAACTTTACAACCCCACTGGCTTCTTTAGAGTTGGGGACCTAATTATCCTCCTGGCTCACAGGGAGAAAGTGGGGGAGGGGAGAGTAAAGGGAGGGTGTGACTTTGTCAGGAAACAGATTCAAGGGTTTACTTCTTGCCCTCTGCCTACTCTAGGGGTTCCTGGAAAAGGAGGTTATGGCGTATTTAAGAAAATTTTCCTCTATCTACCTGCTTCAGTCCCCAGGAGGCAAACAACATTCTTCCATGCCTCTGGGTCCCTCCCACCGAGGAGAGAGAAAGAATACAAAATCCCAGAACTACTCCTTCTCGTCACCCCCTGGCTGCAATACCTCGGCTGGGAGGACAGGACAGTCACTGAGGCTGACGGTCAGACACACTCCGCAGACCGCGCTTCCTGCTCTGCCTGGGTGGGCACGCAGCAGTCAGGCTGGGGAGGGCCGCCTCCCGGCGCGGCACCTCTTTCTCCCCACCTCTGCGCCCCGAGGACGCATCCAAGCCTGACTCGCCGCCCCCGCCTCCTCCTGCTCTGCGTCTCCCCCACCCGCGGCTGGCAGGGCGCGGCGTGGCGCGGCGCGTGGGCGTGCTGCGGGGCGACCATGGCTGTAGACTGTTACCTCCGGTTCCCACAGTAACAATCGAAAGCCACGGTTGCCCTGGAGACGCGGGGGCGGGGCGCGCGCCGCTGACAGCACCGCGGCAGCTCCGAGCAAGCTGACGTCAGGAGCGCGAGGCAGGGGGCCGGGGGAGGGGGGTTGCGCCCCGGGGCCCCGGCGCGGGACTACGCGGGGGGCTGGGCGCGTGTGCGTGTGGGCCGGCCCCCCCTCGCATCCCCTGGGGACTGGGGACCGGACGGCCCGATGGCCACGCCTGCGTTGGATCAGCACCGCGGACAGCGTCGGCGCTGGCTATGAGCGCGGGGTTGCGGGACTCTGAGGGACAGAAGGGTCCCGGGGCGCGGCGGGCGGCTGGGTCCGCGGTCCTGGGGCGGGGCCAGGCGTCGGTGGCCGTGACTGGAGACTGTTACTGAGGGCGGCCCAGGCAGTAAGCAGTCTACAGCCAAGGTGCCGGCGCGCTGTCCGGGCGGGCTGCCCCCGTCGCCCGCGGCTGGGGGCGCTGCTGCTCCTCCTCCCCCGCGTCTCCCGCCCTCCTCCGCCCCAGCGCTCGCGGACAGGCACGCGGCCCCTGACGTCAGAGTCGTGTGACGTCAAAGATGTCCCAGAGGGAGGCACTTCCGGAGGCGGGGGGGGGTCAGTGGGGGTTGGGAGGGGCGGTCTGGCCGAGGCCCCGCCCCCTCTGGTCCTGAGAGGACAGCTCCGATAGCAGAGGCGGGAAGTCGTGGGCGCAGCTGGACCAGCCCGACGGGACTGGTCCGGGAGGGGGCGCCCCGGCAGAATGCGGGGCGGGGGTCCCGAGAGAGCTGCGGCCGGGGCGACGGGCAGGTGGGCGCCTGTCTCTTCCTCACGCCCCCGCTCAGTCGGCTCGGGGCTGCGAGGCTGAGTCACCGCACTGCCGGGAGG